CAAGCAACCTACAATAATCAAGAACTGCACTCTTCGTTTGTTAAGCCGCAAAAGGCACTGTTGGGCAGAATACAAACGAACTGACAATAACAGCGCGTACAAGCAATACAAACATATAAGGAACATATGCACGAAGACTATAAGTTAAGACAGGCTTCAGTACCAGATAAAGCTTATGGATAAATTTGTCTCCAATCCGAAAAGCTTATTCCGTTACGCAGCCTCTCTTCGTTAAGCCAAAACTGGAGTTTCTCAACCGCTAGGTCCTAATGGCCCGACCAATAACGACGGCGACGCCGCTAACCTCTTAGCTGAGCAATACTCCCGGACATTTCAACCGACCCACATCAACTATACTGACGACAGCTTCATCTGCAACTGCACAGGACTTTCCGTAGTGAACCTGAGAGCTGACTTGTTGTTCCGAAAACTGTAGCGCCTAAAAACAGACACTTCTCCTGGCCCAGATATGGTTCATTCTACTAGACTGAGGGAAGCGGCTTGAATCCTGGCAACATTGCTTAGCGTGATGTTCTCACACTCTCTGAGTCGAGGCAAACTACCGGAAAATAAGAAGCTGGCTCACATCACACTAATTTTCAAAGGAGGTCAACGCAGAGAACCTTCAGGTTAACGACCGGTGTCTCTTCTCTCTATACCTTCAAAAATCACTGAGTCCCTGATATACGATAGTATACATGACTATTTACTGTCCTTAAATTTCTCACCCCAGCAGCATGGTTTCAGGAAGGGTTACTCCTGTATGACCAACCTGCTGACTGTGGTGGACAGATGGACAAGCATCGTTGATCGCAAGACGAAGGTTGATATCATTTACCTTGATTTCTCAAAAGCTTTTGATAGGGTTAACCATATATGTCTTATCAATAGGCTCAAACGATTGGGTATCAGACCACTTCTAATTGATCGGCTGATTTCATATCTCAGAAATCGACATTTTAAGATCAGTGTCAACTTCAATTTATCTCAGGATATGGAATGTCCTAGTGGGGTCCCCCAGGGCTCAGCACTAGGACCTCTTCTCTTCTTGATTTATATGAATGGTCTTCCTCAACAGGTATCGTCAGACTTATTAATTTTTGCTGATTACGTGAAACTTTGGAGAGAGTTACGCAACCAAGAGGATATACAGGCACTTCAGGAGGATCTGACTCGACTTTAATGTTGGGCAGACGACAACGGACTTACCTTTAACACTTCAAAGTGTAAAGTAGTCCATCTGCGACATGTCGCAGATTACAGTTACAACTTGGGAAACTCCTCTCTAGTAGTATTTTGAGTCGAAAAAGACTTAGAAGTCCTTGTGCCCTGCGACCTGAAGTTTTACGCTAACTGTGACAGAAATGCCATTCGAGCAAACCTTGCACTGGTAACATTGAAGCACATTTTTGGTCAGTTTGACGGAAGAACTTTCCACATAATTATCAACAGTTTTATTCGTCTTCATATAGAGTACGGAAACAGAGCCACGAAATCAGTTCGGGGACTCAAATTTAAACCTTATAAAGAGCGCCTCCAATCACTTAACGTTTACCCGTTAGAGTAGAGGCGACCTTCTAATGGCTTACAGTATCCTTAACACTTCTCGACATCACCTTAAACACCTACTTAAGCTTAGTCCCAATACTAAGCTAATGGGTAGCACCCAGAAATTGGAGATACAATATAGCAGAACGGACTACAGGCACAACTTCTACTCCTTAAGAGTTGTCAAATGCTGGAATTCTCTGCCAGCTGAGCTAGTCCAAGCAACTTCCCAGGAGTCCTTTAGGAGGCGATTTGATTTATTCTTAAGGACTAAGAATAGTATCTTACTATGATTTACCAATTTCTTTTTTCTCTTTTGTCGTTAATATACCTAGGTTCTTGTCTGGAGGTATTGGTGATCCTTTGCTACTAGACACGGAAACCTGTTAAGCGAAAGCTTCTATTCCGTTCACAACCATTTGAAACATTTGTACCTTCGTGCCAGAGGTAAGCATACTGGAGGCTTGAAGTTGCACGTATTTTGGTCACATGTTGAAGCAGAAAGAAGATGTACTTCTCATGGTTAAGCACGTACGGTATAAGAAAGTAGATGGCACCCTGTATGTTAATTCAGGAAGAGTGGCTTGGCGTAACCAAACATCTGATAGTTTTCGCATCAGTGCTAAATTTGAAGATATTAGAATACAGCGTATTAGTCCGGACCAAAAGGAAAAAGTTCAGCTCCAGTTATTAATGCATAGTGGGGAGTCTTTCACTTTCCAGTTTTCGGATCCTGGAGGCAGGGAGAAGCAGTTAGAAATGCGTAACAACGTGAAAGCAATGCTACAAAACTTGCTACCCAAATTTAAAGACAAGGTTCGTTTGGTTTTCGTCGTGTGCGTTTTTCTAGGTCCTGGTATAACAATTAGTAGCTTCAATAACCATGGTTCCTCAACTCCCCGTTACATGTTACTTAGTTTACTAAAGACCCGACAGTTTAGTTCAGACATAGATTTCACCATTTTAAACATTGTGAAAGCCAGTCTCACTTCTACGGAAGTTAGTGTGTCAGTATGTACCTTTTTTAAAGAGTATGAAAAAAGGTTCTATAATTGAATTGTGGGGATCTTTGCTGTCAGTTGATGATTCGTTGTAGAATACGTCGTCAGCACTAGAATAGCTTTATTTCATGTGAAGTTAATTTAAAGTCTGAAAGTTAAGTACTTCAAATGGTATAGTTCACCATAGTATGATTGGAGTTTGTCAAAGAAAGGATTCACCAAACATAACTTAGTTGTTTGCTTTGGATTTGAAATGCTCAAACAGAATGTCGTTAGTGAAGGGATCGATTACCTTTTTTAGTAATTCTCTTGCTTCTAGCATAAATTGATTAGCAAGTATCAGTTAACTCACCAAGTCGGCCTAAAGTTGCTAGGTTTTTCAGTTCCTCTGTAGTGAATATTCTAGCTGTCAGCATTAATATTAATATCTAAACGAACCCATTTAGTCTTAACTGCTCCTTACTAATCACGGCTTCAAAGAACACAACGGCCAATAAATAACGTAGTTACAAATTACTGATTATTTACTAGGCTAATAAAGGTCCCTTACAACACTTATGTGAACTATCACTTATATCAAGTAAATTTCAACTACTTATCTCATAAGAAACGCTCATCAACTGTATGCTGCAAACTCCACCAGTGGTCTACAATTTCACATGGTGATTCTATTTTCTAAGACAAATTATGGTTTATATGATTACCGGGATCAGTGTCTGTATGTGCTGAGTATATATTGTATAATTCATCTGATAGTAAGTCTATATCAATTTGCTTAACTATTTTGCTGAAATCTATATTGAAGTTCAGAATTCTTCACAAGTCCTAATGCTTAATAACATGAGTCTCAACATTTGAAGAATGTTTCTCACCTAACTCCACTGGCCGTTTGATATACGTACAGTAGTATAGAACAATTCACTCCTGGGACCGGCTGATTTGTCCGTATATGTGTTGGTTCTTTTTAAAACAGATTGTTAGGGTTTGCTGTGCAACGCGTCGCTTTAGAAGTTTTTTAATGAGAAGTTGGAGAAATACTAACAATAATTTTCGCAAGGTGAACTGGACCGGGAATCCTTAGAGTTCTGCGTGAAAGCGAGTCTGGTCGACATTCGCACGTGTAAGTTGATTGGTGCCCCCAATCATCAGTAAATTTTACTTGTTGACTATACAACATCCGGTAACCCTGTTGCACCATGTACATGATTAACTGCTTAACTGGAAACAAACCATACAACAGTAGTGAGGCGCATATATATTTGGTGCCCTCTTGTACCAATATTTATGTGTTCAAATAAACAAATAAAATGTTACAGAGTTATCGTAATTCGAATTAACGTTATACTCCTGTCTAGATACACTGATTCTGCATCTGGTTTTAAGACATTTTGTCGTTAGTTCTATTCCATATCCGCGAACAAAACTCCGAGATTATTTTAGGTTAATTCGTCGTAAGCTTCGTTTAAGATGATTACTAGTTTCCTCTGGTTCAAATGGTTTCTAAGGGTTCAGTGGATTAAATTATTTCACGTCTCGAAATAAAACTGACGGATCACTATGCCACTTAAGTAGGATATTAGTTTGGTTTTCGGCAATCTGATCGAATAGTGTAGGTCATTTGTTTTCAACAAATTAACTGTTTTGGAGTCTTCTTCTCTTCTTTGAGCTTCGATCACCGGATGGAACATGAAATCACGTACATATGGCTAACCTAGATATGCAAAATATGGCACCAAGAATACATCAAATAGAATAATCGTGTGAACGAATAAAGAAAAAAGTATCTTGTAACGTGGACAAAAATTGTGTATAATACTTTCCAGTTATGAATATACGATAATAAAATTTCATTTCTCCTAAAGAATTTATTGTATAGAACAGAAATAAACCCACTATACTATTTCTACTAACTTCTGGTTTAAAGCGTGTGATAAACTTTCAAACCAAACTAGATGATATGGAGAATTTCATCTAATCATTTGTACTGCTCCAACTCATACTAACTCAACTACATTCTACTAACATACGAATTTAAGTGGTCATGGATATCTTGGACAGTAAACAGCTGTGGTTATTGTTACGCCGAATGGGTAACTCGGTCAAGGTTTGAAGACTGGAAATATTGTTTCTCTAGTTTTCACTTTAAAACGGTTGTCTCCAGAAAACGAAAGAATAAAGAAACTACTATTGTCACAATTGATTGATCACTGGGTGGTGACCAATGTCATGCTTGTCTAGTCCATCTAATCTCACAATAGTGCCCGCAATGTCGAGTCACCTAGACTGGTGGCCACATTGCAACATGGTCGATAGCCTTCGATCTGCACTAATAATAAGGACTAGACAAGCATGACATTGGTCACCACCCAGTGATCAATCAATTGTGATTACATCTCAGTCCTACAGGAGGTCGGTCGCGGCCCGGATAGCTCAGTGGTAACATCTCTGACTGTGAAGCTGGGTGACACGGGATCGAATCCGCCAGGGAGCACCAGTTCCCTCAAAGATTACAGGTACACCTTGCTGACGAGTGCCAAGTAGCACGAAACCCGGGTCCAGGGTTTCCTGTCGACTCTCTCCAATCACCATCTAAACTACTATTGTGACACAGCTGATTAAAGTGGTTGTTGGTTGATCGTTTGATGAACAAATTTTTGTCCTTAAATAACTAGACTGTTTTGACTGCTTTTCAAATATAAATGGGGTTTTTTATTTGGTAATATGCTTTCATACACAATCACTCGATAGATGATTATTTCTTAAAATCTTGATAGGAATGTTAATTTGCTCGCACCACGTACATTATTAGTTCGACAGTATCAGCTACAAATTAATTAATTTAACACTTAAATTTTGGTACAACAGGACATCAAAAAAATATGTGTCACACAAGTAAGAAAATGCTATTGTGAAAAAGTTTTTCTCCGGAGAAAAGATCCGCACAACCCTCATAGCTGTTTCTAGAATGTCATTTATAGCAAAGTTGGAGAAAAGTGATGAAAAGTAATTTCGGTCAGTTGACCCGTCATAATCATCTACATACTGACCACTTACATTTTACTGTAACTCGAAATATGAGGATGATGATTCAAGTCTCAAAACATGAAAGTTCGTTTTCATCATTTTTCTTACCCCTTATCATCATTTTTTACTAATGCAATGTCACTTATATTTTACTGTCAGTGTGATGCTACTGTTACTAGTGACCAATGGTCAGTGATTACGATTCTCAACCTCTGAAAGTCCTTTAACCTTTTAGACACTCAAGCTTTGACTATTCGGTCGGTACGTATGATTAGTAAGTATCGATCCGAAAGGGTTCTAGGTAATATGCAACGACTGAAATATCTGTTTCGTATGTTGTCCACTATTATGGCTTACGATGCTTCTTAGAACTGAAGTTGTTTGATCAGAGCACCTCATAAAATAAGTCTGTTAACACACCGGCTGTTAATCTAAGTGCCGACTCAAGTTTTGAAGTTAGATGACACGATCACCGATCTAATAAAAATTAGTGACTGCAAACCTTAATTGACATGGTTCAGAATAATGGTTCACCACAGTGTATCAGTTCGTTCCTCGTGTTCAAAATCGTATCTTATTTCTTGCGATTTATCTTCCCTCCGTGACATGTGTCGTTCTTAATTAATGTAAATATTTTTCTGTTTATGTTCCATTACTTTGTGTGCTGTTTTTAAAGTGTTTTAAATTGAGTAGTTTGGCGTACGGTACTTCATTATTTTATCTATTCGTTTATTACACTGACAACTCTAGTTTTTATGGACTCAGTATCACTCGTCGAATATCCAAAGGCCATCCGTTGCATTCCAGCTCTTTTCAACAGATTTTATTCAGTTTTATCATCATTCAAATAACTCATTTTAGTGTGCCTAATTAGTTACTATCAAGTTGTTTACGTCTTAAACATGCTTTAAAACCAGATACTTACATAATTTCTTGTTTTGTAGGCTCAAGCCGAATTAAAGGAAAAATTTCGACTCCTCGAATCAAACCCCGAGATTTTGGCCTTATACAAAGAATTAGTTGTTAGTGGTATACTTAGCTCTGAAGAGTTTTGGGCTCGACCAGAATTTTCTCATAATAACTTTAATTCATCACAGTGTTTGAATAATTCCACAGCTAATAACAAAGCTTCTGGAACTACTGGGACATCAGAAGCAGCCCCTAACAATGCAAATATGCTGTCTCATAATAATCCGTCAAATGGTCCTACTAGTCAGATTTCACGAAGTTTTCAGCTAGACGACCGACCTCAAGTTATTGGAGTCCCCAGTTGTCTTTTAAGCGATATCAAACCTGAAGCAGATGGTGCCAATGGAATAAAGTACAACCTTACTCACGAAACAATCAATGCAATATTCCGAGCCTACCCTACTGTACGTGATAAACATCGAGAAATGGTCCCTGATAAATTATCTGAAGCTGACTTCTGGATAAAGTTTTTTCAGTCTCATTATTTTCACCGGTAAGTTTTTGTTCTTAATAAACTTATACTTAACTCTTTAAATATCAAGCCAGCAGTAATGGATTATTTCTTTTGTTTAATGATTTATTTACTTAAAGGCCAGTAAAACCAATATGATGTATTGCTTAACACGAGTTGTATTTATTAAATTTGATTGATACATTTAAAAATAGTCAGCTGTCATCCAGTTTAAAAACTTCGTGGGCGTTAGTAACTTTAAATGATCTAAAGACGTTCTATAAAGTAGCTGTATGTGGAGAACTAGTATCCATTTCAGCAACTATTCAAATTTGTACGATAAACTTCACCTTTCTGAAAATAGTCAGATTTGTCCATGCAATAAATGAGTTTATTTGTCAATGTTTTAACGAGATTTTGCTATTCCTCTCATCATGCTCAAACATGAATCAAAAGGATAGTCTAAGTTTCTACTTTCATCAGCATCACACGAAATGACATAACATAAAAAAGTTACATGTATGTAACTCATAAGAATGATCTGAGAGGCCATAACTGAGTATGGTTACTGCCATCGATTCGTTTAAAACACCGTTGAGGTGAGGTGGAAATGTCATTGTTACCACCTTTCAGTAATATAATACACCTATCACTGTCCCGCTTACGGTGTTAGTGTACTGCAAACGGTTAGAGTGTGATTGCACATGACCGAAACTGCCACTCAGTATTTTTTAATGTTAACGTCAGTTGTTGCGAGATATTTATCAGCAGTGTTTTCTTCAGTGATATTCTCATTGATCATTGTGTTTTACTAACCACTTGCTTTAGTAAACCGAAATAAATGTCACAGATAATGTAACATTGATGGTCGATTGTCTTCTTAGTCTCTTTTTACGGCAAACTGATTACTTCGGTAGAGAAAATACAGATAAAACAGCTATTGGAGTTTTTCCTTTCGAAGACACTCTACTTTTGGCACATCAGTATTCAAGCATTAACACGACGTTATTCTTAATATTAATAGGATGTGAATGACCTGTGGCAAATTTGAGGTGTTTGTGTTTTTACTGCTCTTTGATCAACATTCCTGATGGAAAAATATAAAACAAATCTCACTCAACATAGTTCAACTGGGATACCATTGGACAAGGTAATCTAACAACCTTAGATACTTATTTTTCTAGGTCAGTCAGCATTTTACTTTCGACTTATGTAAACCATGGCTTTAAAATTATCTGCATTTTATGACCATTATGGTAACGGTATTCATAATATCAGTTAACAATTTGTATTAATGATTGATCGGTAATATTTTACTAGTACAATCTTTGTCATTCGGAATTTATGTTATTTCTAGTGCTTTTCCTATAGTTGTGGGATAGTTTGTTCGCTTCTCATCTTACGAACGTAGCTAATTTGATCAGGCTCCCTCACTAATTTTCACTTTGAAAATACCTAAGTGTTCTGAGACCGTCTCTGGTTTGTTTCATCTTTATGAACTGTCAAGTTGTAAAATATGACTACAGTTTTTCATTTTGTCACTTGTGTTACTATTATAAATGTGGGTGCTAATAAATACTTCTATTTATTTAGTGACCGTGTTCACCTTCCGAAAAATGATATATTTTCTGATTGCGCTGGTATTGATGATAAACTTTTACTCAGTGATATACGGAAATCAAGAGTCAGCCGAAATAATGTTCATCTTGATTTACCTAATCTTACCGATTACGATATAGGACAAGGTTATGGAATTGATCAAATATCTGGTCCAACAAAAATAAAATCAGCTGAGTCATTCTCGAATCAGAGTGCAGATAATACATTAAACGAGTCAGCAATTCCGAGCAATTTATCCGCAAATCAGTTGTTGCTTCGTCGTTTCAACAATCATTCAATACTCGTTTTGAAATCTCTTAGTTCAAATGACGCATCTTCATCAACTAATAATGCATCTCAAAATCCGAAAGATGTGCTTAACTCTTGTCCGCTAAAAGACCGTGTGTACGTTAAAGAGCTGATAGAAGATCAAAATCCTGCAGAAATCCAGTTAGACCTAACTTGTGTAACTGACTATCTGGAGGGTCCTACCCCTAGCATAGCTGGTAAAGCTGCAAAGTTAATGGATCCATTATCAGTTACACGTCAAATAGATACTTCGTTTTATGGATTACAACTAGAGCAGTCAGTAAAGAAATGTAAGGATTTGATGGTAGCTGCTTATCACATGGGGAAAAAGCCAGGCGTATCACTTTTAACTGCACTTGAATCTCAACAAGCATTAGCAGATGTCTCACCTGGTGGTTGTCTCATCGGTGGTAAACTTAATAATGAACGCACGAAACCATGCGACTTAACTAGTGATCAATCATCCTTACGTTTGTTCGAACCAGGGAGAAACAGTCGTATTTCGAACTCTCCGAAAGTCTCTGATGAACACCATGCTGGTGACGATGTCGATCGTGGCCCGCCACTACTCACACCAGAACAGGTTAAAGATTTGTCACTTTTATATTCTAGTGCCGCTGAACTCTTAAGACATTTCTGGGCATGTTTCCCTGTAACAACCCCACAACTAGCTGATAAGTTAGATCGTGTTGCTGCCAGTCTCGTTCGTTTTCGTACAACCAAGGTAACCCACTTCGCCGCTGGTGTTGATCCATCTTTGAGGACTAAGTCAGACATATATTCTTCTGATTCATCCGAGCATTTACCCAACACAGGAAATTCTGGGCCTATTTCTTACCGTTCAAGTGTGACTAGTCACCTGGAATCGATGCTGGACTCCGCTCAAAAGAAGTATTCTGAATGGAAAACTCGGCATTCGCAATAATGTAAATATCTGTACAGATCAAATTTTATAAGAATTTTGTTTGCAATTTTCTGTCTTCATTCCTGGTAATTCATTACTCTAAATAATTACTGTTTCGTGACACCATGCTAAACTGTATATATTTACTCTTCGAATATTATTTGTAAGATTCATTGACAGATTTTTCGTAACGACCTTTAGATTCGTTTGTTTTTTAGCGGTTCTTTTTATTAACTCTGGTAATGTGAACCGCGAAAATAAGTTAAGGGTAAAGTGAATAAACTTCCTTTGATCCCATCAAAACGAAAGTAAATTTTGAGAAATAATACCAATCTCTTACTGTTTCAGAGATTCGCAAATTATATTGAGTACAAGTTTTGAATGTTGTAAAGCGTACTACGATATCTTTAGGTTATTAAATCAAATCTGAATGAAATCTTGTGTAAATATCCAGGGGATTTCGCATCTTGTAGGTGTTACGAGAAATAACCGATTGTCAAACTTTCTCCTTCAGACACTTATTTTATTAGCGCCAACAAACAGGCTTATCATACTTAGGCCATGGGGTATAAATATTCAGTGTTGAATATCAAGATTAGGTCAAGTATCGATCTAATTTCAATCCATCAATACATAAGAAAATATGGTGTTCACATCTAGACAACTCAGATCATAGAAGGTTGTTTTTTATTATTATCAAGACATTTCGTAGTGAATAAGATATCTAATTATCTTACTAATCTGTATCTACAGTTTCTAAACAAGTTTGAATCACAATGTGGCACATTTGAAAGTGTGAAGAATAATAGAAGTAATCACTAGAAATGCCCAGTTAGGTAAAACGGGTACTTAAACTTGTTTTTACTTGCATTTTATGTTGCATACCAAATGAGATGTAAGGACAGTGTTAGATGGTGGGGCTTATCTTTAACAATAAAACGCTTCTAATCAACTGGTTATCAATACTTTTTCCACGACATTTCACTGCGAACGTATAATTTCCTCTTCATCCCATCGAAAAGTCTAGTATTCGATATTAAATGAAATTAAAAATATCGAGCCACCAAAATCGTTCAGTAAATTGAGATTTTTGTTTCTTGTATGATCCCAACAAATTTTACAGCGCGTCTTAAATGTATAAACGAACACAAAATCCTTATCAAAGTCGACTTCCCCCTCGCTGGTTGCAAGACTTATTGATTGTTCTTAGTATCGTGTATCTGTTACTCAAGCGGACATGTCTCAGTTGTGGAAAAGTAAAAATTAGACTGTTGCTTACGTTACTCATACTTTAGAAGGGTTACCAGACAACTTATTAGTAAACCAAATACTGTGAATTGTTAAAAAATAACCATGTCTGAAGGGATTTATCATCCTGCCAACCACTCGGTTTTAAAAAAACTGGGAATAAGTAAACTAATATACGCTAACTTAAATTCTGATCATGAAAGTACGTCTTAAGACACTAGTTTTTCAGAATGTCTTGCATTCGACAGTCACAGCGCGCTTCTGAATGTTCTAAATCCTGTTATCGTCATCAGCAGCCTCCTTTTGTGGGTCATTTAGCGAGTTCTTATAGAGAATTTAGAGATGTTAAAGGCTTTCAGTTTGGAATAGTAGCCTGGTCCCAAAGGTTCTCTCAGTCAGTTACTTATTACAAAGCTAAATTCCAAGTCTGGTGAATCAAGTTATTCTGGGTTTTGTACCACAGATTAGCCTCATCCACAAGAATACGAAATGTCAATATGCAAGTCTTTCCTATGTAGTTTGCCACTTTTGACAGTCTTGGTAATGTGGGATTGGGTTGATCTGGAATATTAGAATAATACTTATCAGATTGTGATTTTAGCGTCTTCTATTTCATCCCTTCGTCATATTAAATAGCTTCGGTTGTAAACGTCCCCAAATATTATCGTCAAAAAAGACAACCAGTGAAGCTATCAACTGTATTTGATTTTGCTAATTTTAGAATCAAGTTATCTTATGAATAAGTTCAAAGCTCCCAACTACAGACTTGTAGATTAAAGTCAACTGCTGTTCTAAAAACTTTGATAATTTTGCTGCTGAGACAATATCACCCTTTATTTGGGTACGTAAATGCTTTATTATCCAATTAATGTGTTGATCCGAAGTCTTTGCTGTTGAACACATCTCTAGAGTAAATGTCTTTCTTCATTCATCAACGTATTCATAATTAAATTATTGGTTACTTTGACATCCTACCAGCAATCGCTTTGCATTCGTGAAGAGAGGTTAGTTCCTCACGTTGAGTTATATTCCACGTTTAACCTTGTCACTGTCAATTTAGAATACATGTTGTTTATTCTCGACCTGTCATGATATGGCGAATTGCGTCGTTGATAAAGGTAAATGTTAGTAAGAATCTATTACTTGCCTAGCTACCCTTATTGTTTAGTATTCTTGTACACAGCTCACTCCACAAGGTCCCAAATCAGATCACGGTTAGACAGAAGCATAAATATATCCCAAATGACAAGGTTGGATGGATGTAGTAATCACAATAAGAATATTAGTATATTTATAATCTTGACATAGTCTTCTACAACCATCTTCTAGTGCTGGTTTGTTAAGAAATAGTCATTCGGCATGCCCCAACATAATCCTACACGGAACGTGTGTTAATCCCGCTAACACCACTGAGCGGGTTCGTTGGATCTGCAACCGCACGACTGGTCTGTATTTTCAATTTGTCCACTTAGGCGACAAGGAAGTGGCATCACTGTTTGCTTGCACAGAGCCTGGCCTATCTGCTCAAGGGGTTTTGATTTCAAAGGTGTCCAGCGGAACGTATATGGGTATTCTATTTCGGATCTCGAAACTTGTGATCGAAGATGCTTTCAGTTGGTTGGTTTGGCGCAAACAAAATTCTGAGACGACTGAAACCTTGTTAACCACACTTCCTTTCATTTCCACGATCCGACCAACTATCAATGTGGGATGTTTGTCACGATAGTTCTTAGCAAGTATTTCTTGACTCACAGTAAACAAACGTCTTTATACTTCATGATGTTGACTGGATTGCCCCTCCATTTATGTTTTATTAACGTTAAGGGCCTGGACCAAGTGACAGATATATAAGTATATTCTCATTTTTCTACCAAGTGAAATCTTTGCTAAAGACCGTGTTAATTGTCTGAGGAATCGGGGTAGAACGATAGATCCTCTTTGAAACCTCTCCTGTGGTCCCTCTTTTTTGTCTATAATGTAGTCTGTGTTCATTTGCAATTCTATTAGGTTCCCTAGTTTTTTTATTATTCTGACTTTCATTTTCTTCATCTTTGTGAAATTCGGAATTGTCTAAAATCATTATTAGCATGTAAATTATTAGAATCGAAGTTGAAACTATATATCTGAAGTTTAAAAACATCCATTGTGTCAGAATTGGTTGAAAAATGATTAGAATTGAATTGGATTTATTTATTGGTTATCACCTAGGTTATTTGTCTACTGTGAATGGAGTAGTCATTTCAATCAACAACTTCTATCATCCGACTACCCATACTCCGAATTTCAATTCCTGTGGATGTTCGACAGCCATTTCTTCAGTGAAACGGTACTTTTGGTGACCTTGTATTCACTAAATGACTTCGAAAGATCAGAGATTCGGAGAGCTAAATTGGACTTTCGTGTGCTCGTGAATGCCGCGTTTTACGACACTGAACTGAATTACTTGCACTTGCTGATGTAGTGGTACTGCTCAAAGTGCGGTCGAAGTTTTCTGCTAAACGATTAAACTAAGGATGTCGTGGAGCCATAGGCAATGGGCTCCATTTTCAGTAACTGATACACTGGGTATCCCTTCACTGCTAAATATCCTCCACATTACTCTTTGACTAGACTTCTCGTAACTAAAGCCGCTAGGCATTTGTATTATTAATCAATAACTAGAGAACAATACCAGTTGTCGGCGTGAATACGTTGTTACAACCAGTAAGATTCAGGCCAAAGATCCCAGGTAGATATTTTATACATTAGATTATGTAAACAAGCAGGACACTTGTTCGAATTTCAATTTATATAAACGTTAATCTGAGACAACTTACAAGTCTGATGAGCAAATAATTTTATTTTCTCTACTCCGAGATAGCCGGAGGTCGTTTGATAATTCATATCTAAGTATAAGAGAGATGCTCACTTTACTATATAAACAAAAACATTTTAGGGATGTTGTGACGTCTTCATTCCTTTTGTAAAACTCAAGAAACTTACGCTTGCTTTGAACATTTCAACCTGTTTACATAACACTCATGATAGTTGGAAAACACGTACGAGTATCCTTCGTGAGTTTTCCTATATCAAAAGGTAATGGTTGAACCAGAATACAATCGCTTTTGTTAGGTGATCTTGGCAGCGGATGACCGACTACGTGACTTAGTTGGGTAATAAATAAACTTTAATGCACAGTGCTTAGTTACTATGTAGAATTCTACACCAGGCAAGTATTTATGCAGTCCTTTTACTACCCAACCCACAGCTAAAGTCTTCTTGAGGGCCTGAGACTATTTTTGTTCATATTTTCTAAACCATTTAAAAAAAAATAGCAGACTTTCCATTTTGCCTATTCTGTAGTAAATGTAACCGAAGGTTAAATTCACTACTAGCAGATAATTCAGAGTCTGAGTTCACTTCTGTTGAATTACTGCCATCCGCCAAACCGAAAGAACTCAACTGCTTCACAACCTCGTAAACGTTATATTCCTGAAATAATTCCACCGTCCCGACCGTTTTTGAATTAGCTGTTTTGCATCATCGATCGGTAATTTCTTGATCGTCTAAACTCGAATAATATATATACATCGAATATAATCGAAGAAAGTGTCTCTAAATTTACTTCCTGACATTTACAACTAGCAGTACCATTCGCAGTCACTAAGTTTATAAATGCTACTTAGACTTCAAGACCCAAGTGACTATTTATTCCTTCACATAAGAGTGGAGTATAGAGACCGTTATCCAAAAGCACATAAGCTTCCAAACTTCCTTCGGAACCACTTAGCTTGATCGGAGGCCTCAACAGCTGTCCTGGCCTTTCCTTTATGATACT